CACTCAAAACCCTTGGTCCTCTCGTCGGCTGCCAAAGGTTCTTTCAATTTCACTGACATGGCTCTGGTCAACCTGTGGTATGGTTTCCAATGGTGCCGTACGTTGGGATCTTCTCCTCCAGATCGACATCATCAAGAAGACAACTATGGTGAGATTCGAACTCGGCTCGCATGCTTCTAAATACTCGGACACGTGTCCACATACATACATACATACATACATACATAGATTCTGCGATAGATAGATTCTGACTGAGCTAGCGAGATAATGGACAGAAATAGATAGATAAATAGATAGCAAAAATAAAATAAAAGAAGAACAAACAGAATTATACTTGATGTAAAGCTAATGGCTGCTTTTCTAAAGTAGATTCAATTCCATGTTATGACTTTTAACCTATTTATTTAATTAGCATTTTAGAGCACGCATCAGATTTAGATCAGAGATTCACTACTTTCAACTCGTTGATGTTTTACTTCTCTCTCTCTCTCTCTCTCTCTCTCTCTCACTTTCTCTCTCTCTCTCTCTCTCACACATTGTCTCTCAATCTTTCTCCCTCTCTTTATAGCGCACACGTGCTTTCAGCATTTACTTAAAGGCCATTGTCAAATAATGTATTAGTTCTTTACTAAAGCTAGCTTAAATTTGGCACAAGGCCACAAGCATGGCAAACAGTACAGATCGACGTCACAAGTAACGATCTGTAAAACAATCTTCCTAAACATTTCAACAATATGGGGTACCCAGTGAGGAAACGTTGTGATAAACATGGCGACAAAGATGAGGACAATAGTCCGAATAATGTAAATAGTGTACATAATACCTCATCTCAGAAATATAGAGAGGTATAAAATAAAATGAATAGTTTTCCTACGGAAATGCAATGAAAATCAGAAAGGGTTTATGTGTTATGAGGAAATACTATAAGTTTTACTGATAGGATATTATCTAATGAATGCAGATCCACTTAAGCCAAGGCTGAAGAATCATTTAAGCTATAGTATCACTAAATAAGGTTTGTATAATGTCTAATAAGGGAAGGTAGTAGTATGCAAAGATTATGAGGATAAGGAGGATAGATAACGGTTGACTTTCGATGTGAAGGGATTAAGGTTGTAGTGTTCAGGGGAGATTCCAAACGGCAATCTGTCCAAGAAAGTACAACAATATGTCTGAGTTAAACTACTTTACAATTAGAATACGGGGGACATGTGAAAGATTCGATTCTGTAGACGCGGCATGGTAAGTTCTAGTTATAAATGTTTGAACTGATGAAGTCTAAAGAATGCATTTGGTAATGGAGTTCGCTATAGAATAGCGATAGGGGTGGCGATGTTGTATCTGTAGGAAAGAGGCAGCTGGGTGAGAAATAATTTTATTTCAGTGATGCAGGAAAATACAAAAGAATTGGATAGCTAAACGCCAGGAATTCATGTGAGCATTTCTCACAGACTATTTCGCTGTATCACAGTCCAGTTGCTTCCAACTAGGATCGAAACCCGACTGAATTGACGTTGATATATATATATATATATATATATATATATATATATATATATATAGATAGATAGATAGATAGATAGATAGAGAGAGAGAGATAGATAGATAGATAGATAGATAGATAGATATTTCCCCAAATTTAATCGATTTATTTTTAATCCGACATTTTTATTAAATCTAACGTTACCATAGTGGATACTCGTAATTGAAATGGACGTCCCATTTTTATTTTAAACAGTGTGTATTACGTCTATCGACTTAGCCATTCGAAAGATGTTAAAGATCCCTTTTCGAATGCGCCGACCGATAGACGCAATAAAAACTGTTTAAAATAAAATCGGCGTCTATCTCAAATAAGAGTGTCCACTATTTAGTAATCATATAGAATTAATAGAAACTATTTTAATAGAATTAAACTTTATTTTTAGTTTATACCTGTATTTTCTTGCCGGTCGGCATAATACAGACTATTTTAGAATGTTGGGATCGTCTACTCAAATACTGGCATCCACTAAAAATAATGTTCGAAGTAACAAAACTAAATATTTACATTTTAAGAAGAGTCAAGAATTTACATTGTTCATTATTTTAGTATACATAAGTAAAAAAGAAACTGATTATATGGAGTCAGGAAGTAATGAAAGCATTATTAACAGAATAGGACAGAATAGGACAGAATAGCAATACACTATCCATTTGAGGATAGTAGGCCAGAGTGACATAAGAACAAAGCGCCAAAAGACAAAGTATCGAAAGAACAAAATGTCGACTGGACAAAATGTCGAATGGAAAAAAGTATTGTATTGATGAAAGGAGGAATGGACATAATGTCAAAAAGACAACATTTCAAAAGGACAAAATGTCGAACTCAGTAAATACGAACATATCGTCAGGATTTTAGAAATTCAGTTCAAATAATCAATTAAGCTGTTCTAAACTTTTTATTCCTTAGTTTTGGCATCATTTAATAAATAATAGCCTTAAAAAGTGGTTAAGCCTTTATAATCATCGGTTAGTGGTCCGATTTGGTGGGGGGGCATTTATTACGATCTTTAGCAAATTGAATTGTTTTCTCATATATATATATATATATATATATATATATATATAAGAAATATAGAAGAAATATAGTTTAAAAGGTGTGCTATATTCACGGGATAAAGTGTTCAATATCAGCGACAGAGTGTATATAAATATAAATACAAAAAACATTGAAGTCAAAACTCAGAGGCGACAGGTTGTTTCATGTTAGACGCAATCGTCAGGCTGACGATTGCGTCGCCTCTGAGTGCTGACTTCAATGTTCACTTTTATATATATATATATATATATATATATATATATATATATATATATATATATATATATATATATTCATTAGGGGCAATAAATAGGCGTCTACCTCACAATTCAGTTTACTTACCAAGTTCAATTATTCTAATCAAGTTTTAAACGTCATAATTCGGATATATATTTTGGCATACCCTTCATAATGGAAATTATCGAGGGCACATGGACGAGCAAGTTTATCTAGCTACTTCAATTATGATTGGATCGTGAGTTCGTTCCTCATAGGGTGACCCATGCTTGCAGCCTTGTGCCACATCTAAGCCATGCTTAGAAAAGCCCCTTAATGGAAATTATCAAGAGGCAAATGGGAGGAAAGAATCTCTTGTATGAAGGCAACGCATACAGTATCGACAAAGTGATAGATCGATGTACGAATCTATTGGAAATGCAGTAAAAACGACGTTTCTGCAATGATAAATCAATAACTTGCAGAATTAATGAACATTGCCATCAGCATGACCAGTTCGCATATAAATGACATGAAAGTTATATACTGTAAAATTAAAAACAGGTCTCAATACTCTTAAGAAATGATTTTGTCTATAATGAGTCAATGTACAAGTATTATTTCATCTATCATAGGAATCTTCCCAAGAATCTCTTGTGAGGACAATAAGAAGAGATAGTAATTATCAGAATCATTAATTATATGTTATGTTATTACTGTTATAATTTCTCATGAATGAAATAATTTATTTTTACTAAAATTGAAATTTTTTATAAATAAAACATTTTGTTTTTAGCACAATTGTAATTTCTCATCAATAAAACATTTTATTTTTACCACAATTGTAATTTTTCATGAATAAATATTTTATTTTTACCACATTTGTAATTTCTCACAAATAAACATTTTATTTCCATCACAATTGAATCCCATCATGAATAAAACATTTTAACTTTTGAATGTAGATCTTAGTTAAAAAATGTTATCAATTATGTAGAATATTTTTTATCTGAGTTTTTTATATTAGTTAAAAATCTAAAAGTAATTATTCACCGATAGGATACTTTAATGCTAAGTAAAAGGTATTCTATTGTAGACACATTTCTCGTATTTCGTCATTCATTTTGTACATTCGGCACTTTGTCTGTTCAATATTATGTTCATTCGTTTATTTTTTTTTTCAACACTTTGTCCTTCGACAATCTGTCTGCGCATGTGCAGGAAAGGGACAAGTTTCTAGACTCAAAAATTATTCTTTTAGGAAAATCAAAAAAAAAATATAATAATGAGAATTGCAAATCAGATCAGGTAATTCAGCGTCGAATATTGAAAAATTGTGATTTAATAAACGAGGAAAAATCCGCTGAATCTATAGCAATGAAGGATTTCAAAATGGCGTATATCCGAACGGGAATGAAATATGAATAACTCTGTAAATAGATGCTTTGACGAAAGTCAACCTTTTTAACTTTTATTTTATATAATACGATTTTTACACACACACACACACACACACACACACACACACACACACACACACTCAGACTCATATATATATATATATATATATATATATATATATATATATATATATATATAAATTCAAATGCAGATATACTTATACACTTTCAGGAACAGAGAAAGAAATAGGTTGTTATAAAACATCTGTCTTAAAGCTGACTTGTTTCTATAATATATATTCCCCAGGAAGGCTTGATTAATGGAAAAGTTTTTTTGATGTCTGTGGAACCTGCGTAATTGCACGTACAATGTTATGTGAGCATAAACGTACACAGTGACACAACACACATAAATACACACACACACTAATATATATATATATATATATATATATATATATATATATATATATATATATATATATATATATATATATATATATTGAACATGAACTATATGCCAAATATTTTAGACTAAACAAACAAATAAACCATCAGTCTCAAAGTTCAACCAGAGTTAAATAAAACACTACATATATATGGGATTTATATATATATATATATACACACACATATATATATATATATATATATATATATATATATATATATATATATATATATTTAAAACGAAAAAACTAAAAATAGTACCACATTATCCACCTATATATGGAAAACCAAACAAGAAGATAATAAAGACCCCATCCTTAAATGGGAAATATTAAAAAAATGCCCCAAATATAAAGCAGGCCAAAACTTTTGTAAATTATGTACAGAGGAGAAATTAGCCATAGCTTTATATAATCAACCTAACCAGCTATTAAACTCTAAAACCGAAATTCTTAATGTATGTAGACATAAAAATCTTGGTTACTAAATTAGACGTTTTTTCCAGTTTATTTGTCATTCCACCTTAATGTTCGTATTTTAATATCCCCTCCCCTTTTGTTGAATAAATCTTTAACAAACCCAGGTGGTTTGTGTTGTGTTGTGTGGTTCTTTCTTTGGTCACATGGTATAATTTTAGCTATCGCCTATAAATTTGCGTTTCACTTTGCCTCTTTAGCCAAATTTCCCTGACGATCCGTTTAGGTGAAACCTGGGTAGGTTTGTCTGGCTCACTAGGTTTATCTAGGTCTGCTCTACGGTTGTATTGAGTGCTTTTGTTAGTTAGTTGTTTACTCGTATCGGGTTTTTTTTCTTTGGTCTTCAAACCTGCATCTGTGCGATTTTTTTCGACAGACTTTCATGTTTGTAGCTCTTTCTTTTTTAAAAACATTTTTTCCCTCGAGATTGATTTATTAGCAAATCAAAAATTCGCGGGTTTTTCGAAACGAGTATAGTTATCTATATTTGTGTATGTATATATATATATATATATATATATATATATATATATATATATATATATATACGTTGGCATTAAAGTCAACAGACTGTCGCCTTTGGGTGTTGACTTCACTGATAATATTGAGCACTTTAAACCATAAATATAGCATAACTTTAAACTATATATATATATATATATATTAAGCATTCAAACCCCAGGCAAGGCGGGACGCCACTAGAACACAATGGGTTACAGAGTTGGAGATCAGGGCATCTGGAGACGTCGATATAAATAGTTGGAGATTATAGCCATCAGGAAAACCAGAAATGGAGAGCGAGTTCAACAGGCGAGACGTGCGAGACATGAAGCTATTGGAGTAGAAGAGACGGCTACATTTTACAGTTTCGACAGTGAAAGGGTGAGAGCGAGATGCCAGCCTAGTTGAGCGCTTAAATTCATGAAGTCTGGGAACCAGCGAAAGCAGCTCATTGGAGCAGTTACCATTAAAGTATTTGTAAAAAAATAAAAAAGACAGAGGGAGACAACAGCACGTCTGTGAGAGAGCTGAGATTAAAGTTAAGAGACTAACGACGTCACACAGTTGAAACCTAACCTGAACAAAATAAACTACGGAATCTCCACAAATATTCTTAAATGCCTATAATTGATAACAGAAGCCATTGATCTATACCAACGGCTTCCCATACTTAATACTTCTCATTTTAACTCTCGGGTGGTGATGTGTGACGTCACGAGCTGCGACGCGATTTTCGCTTCCGCGTCTCGTATACACGAGTTTGTCGTTGCTTTGAAACTTTTCATACAACAAAAATAGACTGTCATTATTGTTTCGTCCGTGTATTGGTTGATATATTGAAAAGTAATTGTCACCTTTGATAATGGCTTGTATAAGCCGAAAGCTTAGATTGGATTTAAACATGTATCAATATGGTGATTTCCTTTCGTCTTTCAATGATAATGTTATTAAGCTTATTAGACAATATGAAAGGAATTTACTTAAAATAAATAGACAAAACTTGTCTATATCATTTAATGAAACATACACTTGAAATATTCAACATACAACTCGATAAGTTGCGATACCGGACATTCCGATATTTATTTTCGTCTTGGAAATTTAACTGAAATGAAAACAATATTAATACCTAACGATGAAGAAGCGAAAGTAATTCGAAAGTACTTGTAACAGAACATCTAATCCATCTCTTAATTTTAAATATAAGGATCGCGTTTTTAGTAAGTCAATATTTTATTGATCTGTTAGCAATTTTGATTTCGCCATTAATAACGTTAACTTTGCTGATTAATTCTTTGAATCATTACTCTTTTATAATATATATATACATGTGTGTGTATGTGTGTGTGTGTGTATGAAATGTATATATATATATATATATATATATATATATATATATGTTAAATAAAAACAGACCACTTTAAGGTTCCATGTAATAAATTATTTCACCACAGCCCTTTTAAAAGGACTGCGGATCATCAGACTTTACTTCCAAACAAAAAATGAAAAGAAAATTTACACATTTTTGATGGGCCGTATTAAACATATGTAAATTAACGAAGTGAGGAAGTGAGGGGGGAGAGAGAAGACATGAGTGAGTTAGCAGACATTGACACATTTAAACAGTTAACTTAACGGAAGTTATATATTGATATCGAAGGGGTAGAGAAGAAAAAACCATAGAGAGAAAAAGAGGGAAGGAAGTTAAGAGAGAAGATGTCACTAATTTTCTTTGGAATTTATCCTCCTTAGGTTTACCTATACGGATTACCTAGTTTTTCATAAACTATATATATATATATATATATATATATATATATATATATATATTTGCTTGGATTGATGTGAGTTTGTGACCCTGCGTTTCACGCTCTTGCGATCGTCAGACAAACTGATTAATAATTGATAGGAGAACTCAATGGCCTCAATTAGTGAAATTTAGGAAGAAAATAGTGAACGCCCTAAAAAACATTTGATTCAAAATAGAGATAAATGCAGGTAAAAACAACAGTAAACTTCCTTGACTTTACTCTTAACCTGAACAAAAATACATACGAACCGTACAAAAAAGATAATGACACACCCAACTCATGTACACACATCCCCCAACCACTCACCTTCAATCATCAAAGAAATACCCATATCAATCAGCCGCAGACTATCTGAGAACTCATCTAACATACACATTTTCAATAACATTTTCCGTCGTCTGTTAAAACACTTCCTAAACAATTCAATTTTCGTACTTGATTTAGACATCTCCCATCCGTAGCACGTATCTTGGACTGTTCCTCTTGCTGGTGACCATAAATTCTGTCTTACAATTGATAGTCAATCTTTTCTTCCCACTTTATTTGCTGCTTTATATCGTAGTTCTTGTATTTTTATTTCTATGTCTGCCATCGTCACGGTGTAATCTCTAATACTATGTCGCTAAAACAAAGAAATTAAGGAAGGAAAAAAGGCCCTCAATGAAAAAAATAGACATAGGTTTTGAAAATATGCCAATTTTGTGAAATACAAGATTTAATAGGTTCACATGACGGTCACAAATCTCGCAAATCTGACACTTGGGTTGACGAATCTGCTATTAGCAAGTACGATTTCCTGGTAACAAAAAGGAGTTTTACTCTTGAAAATTTGTCAGCGAGAGTTTTCGCGTCGACAGAAAAACGTGGGTAGTAACTACTAGAACTGGAAAGTTTCTCTCGCCTGTTTTCCTTATGCATCCCTGACAAAGATACTACAGAGTGGGAAATAAACCACACCTCACAAGACCGGATAAATGATTATGAACTCTATCAAGGCTAGAATATATTGTTTAATATTTCAATTGGAATATATTGGCTATTATTTCATCAGGAATATATTGGTTATTATTTCATCTATAATATTGTCTATATATCTTTTCAAGTCCTGCGGCGATGGGCACGTGGCGAATTAACAGGTTGAGGTGATCACTGGCGGTTGTAGTGACAACCCTGCAAGTTGGCGTTCCATGAGCAAGTACTCGTTCTTTTCCTGAATCCGAGGGCAATAGGAGGATCTAGCAGCTCGCGTGGGCGACTGGGAAGCCTCCTTAGAACAGCACTGCCCCCTCACATAGGCGAGAGGACTAGAAAAGGTGCCCCAAACAAATGCTTTCCTTTTCTTAGTCTGCTCAGCTTACTGTGGTTGACAGACCCCTCGTCATTGTGGTCGAACAATGCAAAAGAAAAATCACAAGAATCTCGTTTTGGAAGTCTGGAACGTTCGAACACTGCTGGATTGAGAGCCAGTACCATCGAGACCAGAAAGAAGAACAGCAAAAGAACACCAACGATACTGAACAGATATTACCGCACAGCGAAACCCAGCTTGCCGATGAAGGTTCCCTAAGAGAAGAAGTGGGTGGATACACCTTCTTCTGGAAAGGAAAACCTCACGCTGAAGGCAGGATTCATAGAATAGGATTTTCGATCAGAACAGCTCTGATTAAAAGCATATCATTTTTCCCAGCTGGAAGCAATGAACGCTTTATGAAACTGCACATTCCGCTTAGTAAGTTAAGACACCTCATGGTCATCAGTGTACGCAGTCACGAGCCCAGACGACGCCAAAGAGCGGTTCTACGAACATCTTGATCAGGTTATCAAGTCATCGCCCACCAGAATGACCAAGTCGTCATCTTTGTAGATTTCAATGCCAGAGTAAAGAGAGACTACAACGGCTGAGAAGGCGTTCTCGGCAGTCACGGAGTAGGCAAAGTCAATAGCAATGACCTCCTCCTACTTGGCAAGTGTGCAAAACACGGTCTCTGCATTACCAGCACCTTGTTCAGGATGGCTGATAAATACAAGATCACCTGCATACACCCGAGGTCAAAACATTGGCACCTGATTGATTTCATCATTGTACGCCAACGCGATATCAGTGACGTCTGTGTGACTCGCGCCATGAGGGATGCTGAATGCTGCGCTGACCACAGGTTGGTCAGGGACATACTGACGCTACACATACCACCCCTTCACAGAAACCGACCCAGGACTGTTAGGCTTTCCTACAACGTTGCCAGACTGAAAGATCTGACCTTCTTTTCCCAGTTTTATCAGCTGCTTGACAAAAAGCTCCGAGACGGTTTGAACCTCGAAGGCGGCACCGGAAATGGTCTTCTTTCAGGGACACCATCTCTGAGACTGTTAGGTAGATTCTTGGGACAAAGACTAGAACTCATGAAGATTAGTTTGACCAGAATAATGAGATCAAGTAAGCCCTCCATGCGAAGAAGTAGTCTTATATCGAGTGGCAGAACGACCCATCTTTCGTCTCCAAACGTGATAGATTCAAGACTCTCCAGGCCAAAGTGCAGTCCGATCTACGCACGATGCAAGACCAGTGGTTGCATGACAAAAGGAAGAAGTTCAATACTATGCAGATATTCACAATGCCAAGAAATTCTTCTGCTCACTGAGGACTGTATTCGGTCCCTCTGCATCAGGTTGCTCTCCTCTGCTCTCGTCAGATGGAACAACCCTGATCAAGGAGTTCTAAGCAAGCACTGGCAAGAACATTTCAGCAACGTGCTTAACCGACCTTCATCGGTCAACGCAGATGATCTGAACTAGATCCCTCAGCAGCTGATAAGGGACGCGTTTGCAGTGCTGCCAACTATTGCCGAGATCAAGAAAGCAATCTTTCGGACGAGCTCGGGCAGAGCATAGGGGTAGGATGGAATTCCTGCTAAGATCTACAAGGTGGCAGGCCCAAACGCCCTGGGGGGTCTTTCATGGTGTCCTGTGGAATATCTGGGAGAAGGAGAAGATGCTGGATGACTTCCGCGATGCCCTAAATTTCTCCCTTTACAAGAACAAGGAAAGCAAAGCCGACTTGAAATTACAGAGTCATTTCGCTTCTCCCTGTCGCTGGAAAGATCTTCGCCAGGGCCAATCTCAACTGACTCATTACAGTCTCCGAGAAAAACCTCCTAGAGCCGCAGTGCGGCTTTAGGCCAGGCAGAATTACTGTTGATATGCTTTTTGCCATGAGACAACTTCAGAAGTGCATCGAACAAAACATGCTTCCATACTCTGCTTTCATTGACCTGACCAAGGCTTTTGACACGGTCAACAAGTAAGAACTTTAGACAGTCCTTGAGCGCATCGGATGCCCACCGAAGTTCGTGACAATGATTAATCTCTTCCATGACGGCTTGACTGGTCAGATCCTCTCCAGTAGTAACGTGACGGACACTTTCGAGATCAACAACGGTGTAAAGCAGAGCTGTGTCTTTCCTATTCAACGTCGTCTTCGCCTGGATGATGTCCCGTGCTGTCCAGGATCTGGAGCAAGGAGTCTGCATTCAGATACCGTTTGGACAGCTCCCTCTTCGACCTTCGTTGCCTCACTGCCAAGACAAAGAGCCTCCAAGATATCCTCCAGGAAATCCTCTTTGCTGATGACTATGCACTAGTGGTCTATGCAGAGTTTGATCTGCAGATGATGCTGGACCACTTCTCTGATGCCTGTAAGCTCTTCGGCCTGACAATCAGTCTCGGTAAGACTGACGTGCTTCATCATCCCACACCAAACAAAAACACCCCAGTACCGACCATCGTCATCAGTGACACACAGCTTGACAATGTTGAGCACTTCAAATATCTGGGAAGTAGCATCTCTCATGACGGCTCTTTGGACAAAGAAATTTATGCCCGAATCAGCAAAGCAAGTCAGGCATTAGGAAGACATCGCAATAGAGTGCTTAGTCAACACAACATTCGGCTGATTACAAAGCTGAGAGTGTACAATGCACTGGTCTTGCCCTCCCTTCTATATGGTTGTGAGTATGGACACTGTACCGCCGGCACATCAGGAGGCTGGAAAACTTCCACATGCGAGCTCTCCGTTCCATATCCTGAATGCACAAGAGAAACCAAGGCCGCCCAAAGAATCGGTACAAAGACACTGTTAAATCAAACCTCTAGGGGTGCAAGCTCGACCCCAAATAACTGCACTAGTGATCGACCACGTTGGCAAATCACAATCAATGATGCTGCTGTCAACTTCGAGGATGCTCAATGCCTGAAACTCATTGTTGCCACAGATCAACGCCAGCAGGCATAGTCAGCAGTGATTATGACAACAGTCTTTCAGTGACCCCACTGGGGGATGCAGAGCCACCTCCGAGTTCACAGTTGAGAGCCAGATACGAGACATCATCTTCGGAATCGAAGGGCAACCGACACATATATTGGTTATTATTTCATCTGGAATATATTGGTTATTAGTTCATTTATTAGCGTTGCATTGAAAGACTGACCGAAATGGATTATTAGTGTCCAGGAATTCATACAAGCATTTCTAACAGAATCCGGATATTATATATCTATAGATTATGGGGGAAGATAAGGCCATGGCGTTTTTAAATGCAAGTCGATATATAGCAGAAGGAAAAACGGCTTACCTCCTGGAAGAAAACGTGCTCGTACGTGTCTCGCGTGTAAAATACATGAAAAAAAATATGGGCGATTCAAAAGCTATAACTTAAGAACAACTTCATCTCGGAGCTTAGAGATTTTGGAAGACGAATTTGTGGCTTGCGCAAATTTCCGAGCCTCAGCCACTCGATAAAATGAATATTAGTTAGAGAACATCAGACGAACAGAAGAGGGCAACGAGTTGAGTGGAGTGGGAGTACTCGTGCTTTGTTTCGTGGTCTTATCGGTTTGTGATCGAATAGAAGACAGGGTACATCTAGTATTTCAAAACAGCTTTTTTGCTACATAATTCTTCATGCATAAATTTGTTCAACCAGATATGTACCATGCAGTTCCATTATTTTTCGCTCCGTTTGATCAAGCTTCTTTTATGTACCGTTTCCATTTACTCAATAAGTCTGTCACGCATTGCTTTCCATTGTCCCTTCTTCGCTCTGACTGTCCTGTGCGTATCAGATTTCCCAAGCCTTCCTTCCTCATTACATGCACTAGAAATTTCAACTGTCTCTTCCTGATGTTAAGTATGTTTCCTCTTTGTTTTCCTTCTCTCCAAAACCTCTTCGTTGTTCACATATTCGGCCCATCGTATCCTCAATATCTTTCTGTAGAACCACATTTCTGTTGCTTCCCGTCTCTTCTACATCTTTGTGGAGATTGTCCAACATTCGCTGCCATTCAGGAGGACATATATCACGTAATAGTTCAGTAGTCTTTTCTTTGTTTCTAACGAACATTTCCTCTCTCTTAATACTCTGCTTAGCTTTTTGGAATGCATCTTTTTACCATCTCAATACGTCTTCGGATCTTAGCAGAACTTGCCATGATTCTGGCTGATGAAGTGATCTAGGTGAAATTGAAGTTCTTCCCATTAGGAGAAATGTGTAAGGATCGAATAATTACATCCCTCTCTCCATTGCCTCTTTGTCGATCTAAGCTTTATTCAAGCCACCATGTTACACATATTGCAGCTTCTCTAACCGGATTTGTATGTTTATAAAGTGACCACTGAATCTTAGCTTGAAATTCTATTCAATCTATAATGATATATGGATAGCCAATGGTTTAAGTGAATAGATAAGGAAAGAAACTATGTAAAAAATGATTAAATGTTGTGTAGCATATTTGTTGTAGGCGACAGACTTGTCTACGTATCTTGGATTAGATCAAAATAAAATCTAGAACTTGTTCAATTTGACTGTTTAATTTAGGTGTGTGTGTTTTAGTGTATGCACAATTTCCAGTAAGGTTGGTTGATGATACTTCCAGAAATATACGATCAGACGAATAAAACTATTTTATTACCTGTCTGATGTAAGTTACGTGCCTATATGATTCAGGGTCGCATGATAGGTCATAACCAAATACTTCGCCTATTGCAGTAGAGTAGAACGGAGATCTGAAGCCGAAGACGACAGATCCCTAGTGACCCCGCTTCATTTAAATATTCTATTTTCTAAAGTTCGAAACTATAGAAAAACAGATCATCAATCGTAGAAATCAGAGTTCATTTCATTTTTATGATTGATTGATTTGTTTTTAACGGTTTAGCAGCACTTTGCAGGATATTTAAAACCGGAACATGTTTTTCAGGTTAGAATAACTTTTTGGTGATAAGATATTTCTGATACAATTCCTACGATTTAACCCATAGATAGGGGAGAAGTAGATTCATACCTTCCGCAAAGGGAATATAATGAACCCGGCATGAATTGAAACACAACTCTCCGATTTCCAATTCCAAGCCGTTCTCATTTACACCACCCGCACATCCAAGCTTACACTACCTAGTATTTCCGACTGGTCACCCATTTTGGAACACACCAGGCTCGACGTTGCTTAACTTAGGTGATTGTACGATAACCAGTGTTTCAATGAATGTTCATTTCGAAAAAAAACTCGATATCT